GCCATTCATAACAGTTTGAACGACTAAACCTCTCCCAAGAGCAACAGGAACTTTGCTGCAAGACAGGCATATGTAACGATGAATTAGCGCAGCTAAACTCGTGTCTCATTAAATACGGTTCTCCTGACAACAGGCCAGCAAAAAATCTAACAATCTACAGCAAAACCATCAATTATTATGGGCGTTATAACATAGGTGTGCAGCTGGACGAAACATAGACATCGAACCCCCGCAGACGATTTAAATACCTAACGAAACATACACGTCAAACCACGCTGAACGGTTAAGGGAGGAATACAGACTGAGGGTGTTTGAGAACAGGGTGTTGAGGAGAATATTTGAACCGAAGAGAGATGAAGTGACAGGAGGTTGGAGAAAACTTCATAATAAGGAGCTTCATAACTTGTACTCTTCTCCAAGTATAAATAGAATGATCAAGTCAAGAAGGATGAGGTGGGGCGGGCATGTAGAACGAATGGGGGAGAAGAGGAATGCATATAGGATTATAAGGGGAAAGTTAGAAGGAAAGAGATCTAGAGGTTGGTGGGATGGCAACATAAGAATGGATCTTAGATAGGTATGAACTTGATTGATATCTAACAGGATAGGGACCAGTGGAGGGCTCTTGTGAACAAGGTAGAGCGAGTGAGTGACTGATGTGTGTTAGTGTATCTTTGTTACTTGTTGTGTACTTACATGAAGTGGCACACTGTTCTGCCTGTTGTGTTATGCTGTGCGTCCTTCTTGCTAATGTTTGCAAGTTGGATTGGTTCTATCTCTTATAGTGTTTATTTCACATTGTCTGGTGTTTAATTCATGTAATGCCTCAAATATCAGGTCATGGATGTCGATATATGTGTCGTCCATGTGCAATCGGTTTTTGCTCATTTTATATATATGGTATCTTTCCATTGTGTTCAGATGTTTTCCCGATTTCTCTGTTTTTATGAATTTCACTGTGTCAGTTATACTCCTATATGCATGTCCTGTATTTAATATGTGAATGGAATATTAGAATGTATTTTAAACCATGAAGATCGAGGAAATATGCTCCTCCGAAACAATGACAAACACAGATGACTTCCACAGGGTGCAAATACCCAAGAACAGGTCAACATGAACAGTCAATTTGCTATGCCAAATCTTTAAAAACAATGTTATGATATAAGTGACTCTAAATAGAGAATTTAAGCCACACACTTACTGGCAGGCAGGGCAAAGTACTCCAGCAATGCATCTCCTTCCTTAAGAGTGTACACAGGCAGTAAATAAGCACTCAGAGATCCAGCCATAAGGTCCATTACAAGGTGTTTCACCTTCTTTTCATCACCTGACAGCTGCTGATCACTGAATGTCATCACCTTGTCTGCATCGACACAGCTACCAGCATGATGCAGGGCAAAGAGATTGATGGCCAACATCTAGAATTCATGTTAACATCTTAAACAGGCTAACAGTAACATTTTACAATGTCCTACTGCCATATTCACTATTAGAATGCAAATTTCACTAGGACAGGGTGACATCATAGTACTTCTACAGTGCAAGACTACTTCAATGTTACTGAATACAACTTTAAATATTTCAATCTTAAATTTAAGAAGCAAATGGTAAATATACTTGAAAGAATTAAAAACAGGACCCACAATGGACAGAATTTAAATACATAAAACCCATCGGATTCAGCATATCAATAGAATGCAGAGAAACTGACTTTGAGATAATTTAAAATTACTAGGCATGTAGAAATTTTTAAATTTTGAGAGAAAATTAAGAAAAATATCATCCTGACTTGACCACCATGTAAACTGGGCCCTCAACACAACATAAAAGTATCTTAATGATGAAGACAAAATAGATACTACTGTTATCACTATTGTTCATTTATTATGCGAAGATGTATGCTATACGTTTCAGCCTTTTCTAGGTCATCATCAGGCAATTTACAAGAAAAACAAACTAAGTCCCTGAATTGAATATGGATCCGTATTTTACAGTCTATTATTGTTGTTGTTGTTATAGTGAATACACCTTTTGCAGAATGTACACTAATAACATATGCAAAATCTTACTGAAGCACTGCCACTGTCTAAAATTAAAAATAATTGAAGCCTATAATATTAGGAATTTTATTATTTAGTATTAATAAATTTATTAATGTAATGTCTTAAAATTGGTTCAAAAGTTATTACAAATTTTTAATAAGATTATCAAACACAAAATATCAAAGATATGTACACAGGCTAGCCAATGGCCAATTACTCTTACACACCTTGACCAACATATGCATGTTGTAGCATGCAGACCTGTTACTGCGTTACAATCTCAAAACAAACAATGAAACCACATTCTTTACTAGGCAACAGATTCTTAATCAGCAAGTATATGCAGCCATTATTGGGTAACACCTTCACACACAAACATGTTCCCATGGAAACGATTGGAGTACAACACAGAACAGTCTTTTCTACGCAATCTGTGATGAGATGTTATAACCAAGACCTGTTCAGAAGGTTGTCAGTTGAAAGTGAACTGGAAGGTGAAGGAAGACAAGATTTGGTCAGTGCAGTTCAAGTATCCTCAATGTTAGAAGCTGTTACCAAGGAATGACTGGTGAAGACACAGAAGACTGAAGATTTAGTATGTGCTGCAGTGATTTGTAAAGTGTGGAGTTCGGTGATGGCTCTATAATTAAGTGTAGTTAATGAGTAGTGTGTATTAAAGTGGTCAATATAACCACTCTCCAATTCAATACCCCATTGACAGTCTCCCACGACTGTGACAACAGAAAGGAAAGGTAAAAGAAGTGAAGATCTCCCCGTGTTTAATTAATTAAGCGCTATACCATGAAGATGTATGGAGGTGGGAATGTATAGAACTAGGTGGAGATGAGTAGTCAGCTTCATGCTCTTGCTGTCATAAAGAGTCTTTAGTACCTACTGGATAGAATGAAATCACACTCTCAACATAAATTTCTTTTTCTTTTATTAAGTTAGCTGGTTTTGTCTCAATTTGTCATTATTCTGCATTCTGTGTTTAAACAGATTCAATACTAAGTTCGATAGTCTTAGATATAACACCATGTAGTCTGTTGAAAAGCCAACTTTTTTGGAGGCTAAATGTCGCCTTACTTTCAAAGGACTACACTGCAGTTATATCCCAGAAGACAACTGCTGTGAGAACCTCAAATCCTAAGAATCTACTGCTACGTGAACAATACCACAGCAACAGCGGACACCTTCATATAAACAAAATAAATATTAAGTACCTAAACTCCACACTTATAAATAAAACAGATTACCTGCAAACGACATGAGTAAATATGAGGATAACCATTTACATGGCAATTAATAAAAAAATATACAAGACAGAAGTTAGAAGATGGATGACCACATAACACACTGACTCACAATTTACTAGCAGACACAACCTCAAAGACAACATTAACCTTTATCCTACGGCCCTTTAAACTTAGGTTGTGTTAGCGGTACGGATTTCTTTAAAGGGCCGCTATTTGAGATTCGTTAAAATTGTAGTCACTTACTAATTTTGCTCCTATTTCTGCTATTTCTGTGATAATCGAACGAAATAAACGCTGTTTTTTTCTCGAAAGAATATAGAATCAGATATTGTAATTTACAGATTGTATAAAACATGTTAAAATTTTTGCACTGACACCAAAGTAGAATTTTCGCAGTTTCTTGTTTCTGTGCAAGAATTCATACGTTCTGGACATCCCTGTTTGGATGTTGCTGATGACGACACTTGTGCAACTCTCGGTAACACCGGATGTTGAGTCTAGAGCTTATCTTTGGCCACTACTAGAATATGGACAGTGGAAGAGTGATATAAAGTCACGTGTTGTTGCATATAGAGTTCTTCTGAACAATACGTGTACTGTACTTGTAGAGTTGAAGCCTTCTTTTTGTTTTATGAAATCGTGTTGCTGTATCAACACACACCGTAATAGCTTCGTGGCTGGAAGCGTTCAGTACAGCGTAATTTCAAAGTGTGATCGTACCATGACGTAATTCTTGTGGAATGTGAATGATACAAATTCAGCGTAGTTATTGAGTTCGGGCTGCACACTAAGATTACATTTTTTATAGTTTCATTACACTGAGTGCTTGGTTCGTAACTGGAAGTGTTCTGTCTAGCTATTCGTCGGCAACCTGGGGACCACCAGACCAGCATGGCACGAGTGTGAATAATTTTTCAGGTGGAGCTGTGGGCAAACTGTGCCAAACAGTTATAGCATATGTTGTCGAACCTGGAAATGGACAAATAACCTATTTTTCCATCTCCTTGGTCTGAACAGTTACATCCTGTTGTCACACTGAGAATTTCGTCTCGCTCTTTTGCGGAACATGCTGTTAGGGGTCCACCTCGCCATCAACGGCCAGGGGTCGAACCCCTGCCGTTTTATGGGAGATATCTCGACTATAGAAGGCCAAACCACATCACTGGCCGACTTGCTATACTTCGCAATTGAGGTGTCGTGTGTGCTTTTCGCGTGGGACACGAAAGACCGCCCGGACAAAGTGCGTGAATTGCGAAATCGGACTCTGCATTTCCGGATTTTTTGAGAATTCCACACGAAGGCAACATTCCGGCAGATGATGCAGGCGGGAAGACAGACACTCCATGCAGATGGTGGCCAAAAATTACGTAAGTACAACATTATTTACTACTTTAAAAATGTAATTTATGTAAAGTCATCACGCGCGGAGTGTGCGACCGGGAGTCGAACCCCTGCCGTTTTATCGGAGATATCTAGATTATAGAAGGGCAAACCACATCACTGGCCGACGTCCTGCACTTCGCAATTGAGGTGTCGTGTGTGCTTTTCGCGTGGGAAACGAAAGATCGAACGGACAAAGTACGTGAATTGCGAAATCGGACTCTGCATTTCCGGATTTTTTTGAGAATTCCACACGAAGGCAACATTCCGGCAGATGACGTAGGCGGGAAGACAGACACTCCATGCAGATGGTGGCCAAAAATTGTGTAAGTAGGACATAATTTTCTACTTTAAAATTTAATTTTATATTACGTTGCCACGCGCGGACTCTGCGACACCATATGGCGTCATTCGTACAGGGGACTTTCTTTTAACGACGACATACGTTGTCTTTAGTCGTTTAAAGGTTAAACTATTTTTAGTCTTAGCTTAATTTTCAAGACTATTTTTAGACATAAACTTAGAAGTAAACATATAATTTGATGATAACTTGACTTATTAAAACTTTTGAACCTATTTTAAGATGTTACATTAATCAATTTATTGATACTAAATAATACAATTTCTAAATTTGGTCTTTAATTATTCTTAGTTTTGGGCAATAACCACACAACACTAGGATTTTCAGTTTATTATTAATATATATTCTCCATAAGGAATATTTCCATGTTAGGTGGGTCCCTGTCACCATGGTATGGCGCGTTCTCAGGTTGCGGATGGAGGAGACGCCCTCCAGTTTTGGAGGGAAGCTGCAGATATATTGAATAAGCAGTTGCAGACAGGCGACAAGGGGTGGCCCTCAAGCTTGGGGGTTGGGCGGGGGGCTAAAACTCCTCATCGTAAAAATCATTATGTTACGAAAATGAACACAAAGCCTCGGATCTGGATGGATTCCTTGGATAAATGACCTAAGCTAATGAAAATGGACAAGATTTGGCACTTGGAATGTATGAAGTTTGTATAGGGCAGGTTCATTCAGGGCAGTGGCAGAAGAAATCTTAAAACATAAGTTAGATTTAGCGGGAGTACAGGAGGTCAGATGGGATGGAGGTGGCATCACACCAGTAGGAGACTATACATTTTTCTATGGAAAGGGGAATGAAAATCATGAATTAGATACAGGTTTTTTCATACATAAGAGAATCGTATCAGCACTTAAGAGGGCAGAATTTGTTAGTGATACGATATCATATAATACTAAAAGGTCGCTGGTGTGATATCATTGTTATGAATGTTCACCCCACAAGAGAACATAAAATTTATGACATAAAGGATAGATTCTATGAAGAACTAGAACATGTATTTGATAAATTCCCGAAGTACCCTACAAAAATTTTGTTAGGAGATTTTAATGCCAAAGTAGGGAGGGAAGACATTTTCAAACCAACAATTGGGAATGAGAGTTTGCATGAAATTAGTAATCATAATGGAGTTAGAGTAGTAAACTTTGCCATATTCAAAAATCTTACTGTCAAAAGTACAATGCTCCCACATCGTAACATTCATAAATTTACTTGGACATCTCCTGATGGGAAGATACACAATCAGAGCGACCATATTTTGATAGATAGGAGACGGCACTCAAGTATACTTGATGTCCGATCATTCAGGGCAGGAGACTGTGATACTGACCACTACCTGGTGGAGGCCAAGGTTAGGGAAAGACTGGCAGTGAGAAAACAAACAACACACAGAGTTCATATGGAGAGGTTCAATCTCAAGAAATTAAATGAGGTAGAGGGTAAGGAGTAGTATTGTGTTGAAACTTCAAATAGGTTCGCGGCCATGAAAAACTTAAAACACTGAGGTGGATGTTAATAAATCTTGGGACACTATTAGAGATAATATAAAAATGTCAACCGAAGAGAGTCTAGGTTATTTAAAACACTGAGGTGGATGTTAATAAATCTTGGGACACTATTAGAGATAATATAAAAATGTCAACCGAAGAGAGTCTAGGTTATTATGAACTGAAGAAGCACAAGCCATGGTTTGACAAAGGATGTTCAGAATTATTAGACCATAGGAAACAAGCCAAACTGCAGTGGTTACAGGATCCAACCAAAGTAAATGGGGATAATCTGAACAATATAAGATGTGAAACCAGCAGGCATTTCAGGAATAAAATGAGGGAATATCTGAAAGACAAAGTGATGAGCTGACAATGAACAGTAAGAACAAAAGCGTTAGAGACATGTATAGAGGTATAAATGACTTTAAGAGGGGTTAGCAACCTACCAGTAACTTCGTGAAGGTCTAAGAACGGTGATCTGCTTGCAGATTCCCATAACATTTTGAATAGGTAGAGGAACTACTTCTCTTAGTTATTGAATGTACATAGGGTCAGTGCTGTTAGGCAGACAGAAATCCATACAGCTGAGCCGTTAATACCTGATCCTAGCCCATTTGAGGTAGAAAGTGCTATTGCAAAATTGAAACGGTATAAATTGCCAGGTAGTGATCAAATTCTGGCAGAACTTACTCAAGCAGGAGGCGAAATATTATGTTCTAAGATCCACAATCTAATTACTTCTATCTGGCATAAGGAAAAATTGCCTGATCGGTGGAAGGGGTCCATTATCGTACCAGTTCACAAGAAGGGTGATAAAACTGACTCCAGTTGTTATCGTGGGATATCACTGCTATCAACTTCATATAAAATTTTGTTCAATATTCTTCTTTCAAGGTCAAGTCCATACATAGATGAACTTATTGGGGATCATCAGTGTGGGTTTCGATGTAACAGATCAACTACAGATCAGATCTTTTGCATTTGTCAGATATTGGAGAAAAAATGGGAGTATGATGAGACAGTACATCAGCTATTCATAGACTTCAAGAAAGCCTATGATTCAGTTAGGTGGGAAGTACTGTACAATATTCTGGTAGAGTTTGGGATACCCATGAAACTAGTTAGGTTGATTAAAATGTGTTTAAATGAAACGTGTAGTAAAGTCCATGTAGTTAAACATTTGTCTGATAAATTTCCTATCCAGTATGGTCTAAAACAAGGAGATGCTCTATCGCCACTCCTTTTCAATTTTGCCTTAGAATATGCAATTAGGAAGGTCCAGGGAAACCAGGTGGGACTGAAATTAAATGGGACACATTAGCTGTTAGTCTATGCCGATGATGTGAATCTACTAGGTGATAATGTAGATACCACAAAAAAAAAACACACACACAAACTTTAACTGATGCAAGTAAAGAGGTTGGTCTAGGAGTAAACATAGAGAAAACTAAGTATATGTTACTGTCTTGTCACCAAAATGCAGGGCAAAATCATGACATAAAGATAGGAAACAGATGTTTTGAAAATGTGGCAAAATTCAGATATTTGGGAACAATGATAACAGATTGAAAACTGATTTAGGAGGAAATTAAGAGGCGACTGACTTGGGTAATGATTGCTACCATTCAGTCCAGAACCTTTTGTCTTCTCATCTGTTGTCCAAAAACATAAAAATTAGACTATACAAAACTATAATTTTGCCTGTGGTTCTGTACAGGTGTGATACTTGGTATCTGACATTAAGGGAGGAATACAGACTGAGGGTGTTTGAGAATAGGGTGTTGAGGAGAATATTTGGACCAAAGACAGATGAAGTGACAGGAGGTTGGGGAAAACTGCATAATGAGGAGCTTCATAACTTGTACTCTTCTCCAAGTATAATTAGAATGATGAAGTCAAGAAGGATGAGGTGGGGAGGGCATGTAGAATGAATGGGGGAGAAGAGGAATGCATATAGGATTATAAGGGGAAAGCCAGAAGGAAAGAGATCTAGAGGTTGGTGGGACAGCAACATAAGAATGGATCTTAGATATGTATGAACTTGATTGATATCTCTCAGGATAGGGGCCAGTGGAGGGCTCTTGTGAACAAGTTAATAAACCTTCGGGTTCCATACAATGCTGGGAAATTCTTGAGTAGCTGCAAAATTGGCAGCTCCTCCAGAAGGGCTCAGCTCCATGGGTAAGTATGTAAGTATAAGGCGTATTTGCTATAATAACAACAGACTATAAAATACGGATCCATATTAAGACGACTAAATATTTCTGCGACTTGTGTGATGATAACCTAAAAAAGTGGTAACATGTAGTGTAGACCTTCATATAATAAATAAACAATAATGATATAGTACTATCTATTTTGTCTTCATCTTGTAGATACTTTTACATTGTACTGTGGCCCAATTTACAAGATCACTGAATACACAACAGGATGCAAACCATAAAGATGTAATATTTAACCTGCATTTCCATATGGGTGAAATTCCTATTGAACAGAATGTCCATAACACAGAGGAACACTGTATTTAAATTCCCACCAGTTACTACACACCTGAACCAGTTTCCATGAAGTAAGACTCTCTGTGGCAACATGGGCCGTGAGGGTTGTCATCAGTATTTTCACACATTTTTCTGCTTCTTGTAAATCCATACAGTTATGCAGTAATCCATGCAGTTTGAGGAAAATGGCAATGTACTCTGAAACGGATAACTTGTTCCTTCCCTCTACATTTAATCTGCAAGAGAGACTGACAGGTATAGTGATGAACATTTGGAATTTCAGCAAACGTTACATCAAAACTATATGGAGAAAAGCTTACCCTTCTTCTGCACTTTTGTTTAATGTCCGAGAGAGATTGGTTGCAGCAGCTGGAAACAAATGACGAACAGCAACACTGCGAACGTAGTGGAACACTGTGCTCAGTCGATCGCCTCGACTAGCTTCTAGCAATGCAAGCTGGTTGTAAGGTTGTCCACTGTTTGGAGCCAACTGCACTGCATGTCTGTAAACAAAGCACACATACACACACTACAGAGCTGAGTGCTCGTTTAGAAGGTGACAGCTGCTGAAATAAATAGGCATGGCCTAATTTGAGGTACTATCCTGCATTTGCCTTGGGGGGGAAACAGGTTTTCCGGACGTTCATTTGATTTATGTGGCTCATGGTAAGGTCAAAAGGCAGGCTAGGAATATTTTGGTGTCATAAAGGAAGTGAATTCCTTTAGCATGAAGTTAGCATCAGAAGTTGAAGTTACATGAACAGGATCAGAATCTTCTAGTGCACCACCCTTGCCATAGACAAAATAGCAAATAAAAATATTAATGAATATTATATTGTCCAGTGCCTGATGTAAAATCAGCATAAATGTAAAGCTGTCCCTGTGCCTAATTCATTAAGCACTATGACATGAAGATATATGGGGAGAGGAGGTACAGCTCCACCATTCTTGCCCTTGGCACTAGATGGAGATGAATGGTCAGCTACATGGCACTGCCCCTTTACCCCTTGAGAAACAGTCCTTGGTACCCACTGGATAGGAGGCTGGCTATCCGGCCAGTACTGTCACTATATGAACTCAGTTTGTCATAGTTTTTAGAGTGGATGACATGTTTTGGCACTTATATTTACCATCATTAGATGTGCGGGTCTTAGTTCATGTGTTCAGATAACTGATGGCCTGCGAATGACAAATATATTCTGAAACACATCACCATTTTTTGTAAAAAAACGAATAAAATAAAAAAACCAGAATGAGAATGTATGTTGTGACAAAAAAAATACAGAGTGGACACCCCTTACTGTGATCACTTTGGGATATATCTTAAAACTGACAACAATAACCGATGGAACATGAATTAAGCTGTTCCGGCTTGTTTATCTGTGCAAAGTGGAAATATGTACATAAAAAATAGGAAGATGGCCAACAGAAATCTTTAAAATCAAGAAATATGGAAACCACTGATAAAACATTCATATTCTTGTCGGTGCTCAAGAACAAACCAGGATGTTACATTATCACTTCCACTGCAGACGTACCAGAGCCATGATATGACAAAAAAGTGATACAAAAAATCTCAAGCACTGATTACAAAAAACAAAATCTTTTTTTGTATTTGTATACGCCTGACTGGGACGTGATGAACATGATAACATTGCATGAATTGCATTATCCATCATATCTTGGCCACTTCACCACTTGTGTGTGGTCCCTAATGTCTCCATGATCATATTTCCAATTTTAACCCTGCCCTACACCTCCTTCATCTACTTTAATTATAGACATGACATTAGGTGGGCAGGGCATGTAGCACAAATGAGAACGAACAGGAATGCATATAGGATATTGGTGGGAAAGCCAGAAGGAAAGAAACTACTAGGAATACCAACACATAAGTGGGTGGACCATGTTAAAATGGATCTTAGAGAGACAGGATGGGGTGGGATGGAGTGGATCAATCTGGCTCAGGATAGGGACCAGTGGAGGGCTCTTGTAAACACGGTAATAAACTTTAAGGTTCCATAAAATGCTGGGATGTTCTTTAGTAGCTGCACAATGGGTGGCTTCTCAAGAAAGGCTAGCTCCATGAAGTTAGTTAGAGACACATGCCTCTGTTAAAGTATATGTATGTAGATGCATGGATGCACGCACATGCACATGCATACACACTAACCTATAAAATATTTCAGCCTGGCGATTCTGATTCCTGTACCGAGCGATGTCTCCTAAGTGGACCAAGCAATGCTGGCAGATATAGTAACATGAGTTCTTGTGCGGCTGTGTCAAGTGATCAACTGTTCTCCAGAGCTTTCCATTCCCATATACAGATTCCTTCCTGCAAAGTAAACAACTTATCTGAAATATCAACACACTACAGTGAAATCCACCATCCAGTGAATGTTTCTTCTATCCTCAGCCAAAGCAACACTATTTTCCCATATTCAGCACATTTTTAATAAAAAGGCATAAAGGTGTCACTGTGTTCAATTAATTATGCACTATGCCATGAACATATGGAGGAGTGGAGGTATACTCCAACATGCTTGACCTTGGCACTAGATGGAGGTAAGTGGTCAGCTCCATGCCCCAGCCACTGTACCGCCATAGAAATCGTCCCCAGTACCCATTGGATAGGAGGATGAGTGGGGTCCAGAGATGGCCTGGATGCTTTGGAGAAGATAAAAATCTTGCCTGAGCCAGAAATTGGACCTTGGTTGTCCAGCCTGTAGCCCATCACTATAATGACTGAGCTATCCCATGATTTAGTAAATAACTTGCATCTGGTGCGAGAAACTTTTGACCCTCCACAACTCATACATCAATGAAGAATTCTGTAATATTGGTTACTGACAAGTTGATATGTAGAATAAGTTAAAATTCTAATAATTTAATATTATTATGATTAGTTTTAATATTTCAATTGTTATATATCTAACAAGTCCATATTTACTATCATTACTGTAACTTATATAATGGACATACCCTATACCAATGTATTTTGATCTCCATGATGAATAAAACTGAATGAATGAATGTTTTTCCTTTGTCAGAAAGTGTTCTGGTATAACCATTGTGTTTACTTCATATAAAATTAATTATTTCAAAATCTTCCTTCTCAGACGTTTACTCATATGCCAATAATTAAATGATATTATGACTACATAATATTTGTTTCTGCAGAATACGTATTTATAACTATTTAATATAAAGAAATTATTTAATCACTGTATACAGAAAATATTATATAAGATGGACATTTTCTAGATGTAAACATGCATAACCCCCATTTTGTGAGAACCTAAATTTAGTGTAAGAATGCTCATTCTCTCAGATTCATTAAACAGGAATTACACTGAACAATTAGAAAGCAAGGTCTCTATGCAGGAGATCCATCTACATAATTTAAAGGAATTTAATTATAAGCACAGTTCTGTATTGGCTGAAGTACAACTGTTCCTAATATTGTATCTCAGCATCCTGCTGCATGGATGTATTACCCCAATCATTCACTTCCGTCTTTAAAGCAACTTATAAATGTTCAGCCTCTCCCAAATTTGTGATAACATTAAAATCACAATCAACTGCTACATGTTTTGGCCTCACTTGGTCATCTTCAGGTAACTGAAACAGCCACACTGCACTAGTTCTTGAGTCAAAATATTTCAATGCTATTTTAGTGCAAACAATGATAATGCAATAGCACTGAAATATTCTAAATCAAGAACTAGTGCAGTGTGGCAGTTCCAAAGAACGAACAGCTACCTGAAGATGACCAAGTGAGGCTGAAACATGTAGCAATTGATTGTGATTTTAATGTTATTATAAATTTGGGAGAGACTGTGAACATTTTAAGTTGCATTAAAGACGGAAGTGATAAAGTGGTGAAGTTATTGCTGTAAGTTAAAACTGTGAACAGTTTCTGCCATGTCCTGTATGATGAGGATTACCTCCTGAATGGAAGGTCCAGATCAAATGCAGTACAGATCTCCTGTAGCAATGTCAAGTAGAAGCCACTGGCTGCCTCCAGACACCACGATAACATGGCTTGCGACTCGTTCCGTTTTGGATTCTGCGGTGAAAAACAAATTAATGCAATATCTGCACAAGTTAACACAGCATATGACTTATTCCATTTCAGTTTTGAAGTGACAAAAAAAATTAATCCAGTCAACAGTACTATGGTCTTGGATATAATGCCATGTAGTACACTGAGAAGTCAACAGATGTTCTGGAGGAACGTACTGCTTACATCTTCAGCGTCAAAGAAAAAGCCGAGCAAGAAACCAGCATGCCACCAGCTTTCTTTATTCTTTGACCCTGAAGATGGAGCGATATGTTTCTCTGAAACATCAGTTGACTTTCAACAGACTACATGGCGTTATGTTCCCTTCATAACCACTGCTGTGAGAACCTCAAATCCTACAAATTAATCCAGTATCTCCATAAATGGCTGCAGTGAGCCTACGAGGTAGATGAGGCACACTGTATAGGCTAAGCCATCAGGTTCTCAGGGTACAGGAAAGCTGGGTACTTGGTCTTGAAACGATTTCTGCTTCATATCCTGAACAGAGGACTATCTTGAGGTACTAAGTGTTTATGAAACATGACATCTGAGGTTTTGGGGCAGTGAACATCCCAGGTTCTGATCTTCCAGGTCATGACACCATGCAATCTATTACGTGGGGAGCAATATTTTGGAGGAAAAGCTCCTCTACCCAGAAGATGGATGCAGTACATTCCCCTCAAACATAGGTACCAACTTAAAAGATTACATTGCAACATACCACAATATGAATTTATGAAACAACTTTAGCGAATCAGAGACACCTGATAATGCCGGTGTATGGCTGAAGTTACATTGTAGATGGAAATATATTGTCTGAAATAATTGATGTTCTACTATATAGTTTCTCTTCTGTACTACTGTGTAGCCCACCAGATCAAAGAACATGTGAACACATTACAAAATTTATTCCACATTCCTCTCAATATTCGAGGAATTTTTGGGTCTGATTCAAATTATTATTTCTAATTCTTTATTTTTAAATATATAAACATACATAAATTTCTTAATCTGAGTATCATTACAGTCCCAGCTACTTCATATTCTGATAGTGACGTGGAAAGCAACCAAGACGGGTACTTCTAACTGTTCAGGCATACAGACTGTACAATTTGAGTATATCATATGCAATGATATATGGAATAATGACAGCTGACAAATATTTATCACAGTTCACTTAACCCGTTGCCGTGGTTCGTCGTGTATGGTTCGTCAGGGATTTAAATCGTCTGGGGGGGTTCGGCGTGTCTGTTTCGTCCAGCTGCACACCTATGTTATAACGCCCATAATAATTGGTGGTTTTGCTGTAGATTGTTAGATTTTTCGCTGGCCTGTTGTCACAAGAACAGAGTATACTAAGCCAACGAGTTTAGCTGAGATAAGTCATCGTTACATATGCCTGTCTTGCAGCAAAATTCCTGTGGCTCTGGCGAGCGGATTCTAGCTGTACCGTTATGAAAGGCCTGTTTTCTTTGCTTTGAAGATATAAACAACCGAGACGTGATATTTACGATGTTGATAATATCATATTACCCTGAGCTGGCCACAGTAGCACACTCAATTGCAATTCTTAGAACAGGGTTGTCCAAAATTTTATTCTCGTAAAATCAATTGCTTTCGCACAGTTCATAGCACCCATTTCTTAGAAAAACGCCACAATATAAGGCAGGACACTGTGGTCACCCCCTGAGACGATACGGATGTGTGTGGGGGAGGGAAAAGTACTCATTCCTTCATAATCATCGCTCCAGTTGACGTCATTTTATCGTACTGACCTTGGTGGTCGTTTCGAGGGATGACCGTAAATATCGGAGCGAGGAATGTGGGGCACCGTTGGGTTACACGAATGCTTCAAGGCCTTCCTTACACTGCTCGAATAGATACCGGGCGCTCATATTATAAGGTAAGTTTATAAAAACCATCTTTTAAGATAATTTTAGTGAAAGTTTCATGCTTCAAGGCGTCCCATTCACTGCTCAAATACTAAACAACCTGCTTCCATTGAAGATATAAAGGGCGCGCATATTATAAGGTAAGGTTATAAAACCACCTTTTAAGAGCATTTTAGTGAAAGTTTCATGTTCCTATCTCATAGAATTTAAGAACAATGATGAATAAATAATTTTCGAGCAAAATTTAAATGGCCGGCTGAATATATTACCGCAGGAGCCGCGGCCGCGGAATTTAAATGACCACATCAAAGGGTTAAGGATGCAACGACTGTGAAACAAACAAAGAAACAACATTCACTGCAAGGGAATGGCCCAGTAAACACGCTCCCATGGCAATGGATATGCCTGCTACAATAGAAGTAGGGTTGGAAATGGTGTTATCTACATGGTCCACGCAAAGGGGTTATATAACAAGGACACCACCCTGGGAGGTCAGAACTTTCATTTAAAAAGTAACATCTGGTCATGAGCCCTAGCCAGGGCTTGACACCAAGACAGACACACTGACTGACCGTCATTTGCAATGTGACTTCACTTTGGGAGGTCAGTCAAAATCATGAGAATGAACATGTTCGTGGTATAGGACAAGGAGAAGCCAGACACAGAAAATATAAGAGGCTTACTTAAACTTGACAGTGGTCAAGCTTACAACCGTTCAAATGACTAGGCTGCCATTGTAGTGTAAGATATGTAAGACAGGCATAATCTGGTCTGTAAACCCTGCACTGACAGTGGACTTGCGTGCAGTGCGAAAGGAAAAATATACACTTGACGAAAGGCCATGTGTATTCATAATAGACAAACCCATCTTCTTGTCAGAGAGGATGTTACATAAGGACTATTACCGCAAGAGTTCAGTTGGGAAATATATCTGGTCATGGTCCTCAAGGGGCCTGATGTCAAGATGAACTGATTGGCGGTAAACAGCCAGTCATAAAGTAACTTCTGACTTTGACTCTGGGAGGTCAGTTATCAGTTGAAAGTCAGGCTGTGTAGAGAAGACTAGGAGGTTGGTATAAAATGGTTGCCAGCCTGGGAGTTAGTCAGCTGTAACAGAGGCAGCTGGAAGGAAGCCATTGTTCAGAAATGTTTTGAGTCTGGAAAAGACTTTGTGTGTGATCTATTGAACTGTAAAGTGTGAAGATCAGGGTTGGCACTACAATAAAGCGTAATTACGAGTTGAGTGTATAAGCGGTCAATAAATCCAATATCCAAACCAAAACGTCGACAGTCACTGGATACTACATGACAATATTATAATGTTTCTTTTCAGTGCAAATATTTCCAAACATTTTTACTGCAATCTGTGTTGTAAGGCAGAGAAGTGCCCAGGTTATGAAGGGGGCAGGGATGCTGCTCACCATAGGGAGTCCTTTACACATGTACATTAGTGGACAACGGTTATGGTTTCTCCTTCCACAATGCAACAACACCATATCTACACCTACCATCACTCACAGTTCATTTTTACTTCCTCATACACATAAAATTACATACATGAGGAATTCAGTCATGATGAAAAAATTAATCTTGAGATTTAATGGATTTAACAAGTTTTCAGCCATACTGAATATGAAATAGTGGTTTTTGGAATGCTGTTTGTCAGTCTCGATGGATGGGTGGATGGACAGGAAAGACGGGCGAATATAGGTGTGTATGTGATCCTCACTAGCACCTGAATGGTTTGCTGAATTTTATTTATATTCAGTATTTAAGAATATGCCTGTACCAGAAGAATATGACTAGTCTGTGCTCCAAAAATATAGGCCCCTTCAAATCAGTTCTCAAAAACAAAATGGCAATTTCATTGAAAGAAGCTCTAACAATTCTGATTAAAATTTCTGAACATACAGTGATTACTGCCCTTAATGGAACTGCATAGGTGGCATCTTCAAGAAAATAATGGTATGTACACTACAGGACCAAATGTTTACACAAAATGTGTGTCTAGCTTCTATAATCAGCAACAAACAATGGTCTACTGACACAACATAGTTCCCAGGTACAGAAGAAAAGTCTATTGTATTGTGATGCATATGACCATTGCTAGGGAACGGCTCAGTAAACATGTTTAAGAGATTACGCTTTCAACAGTGGAAGGACAACAGTTGCTGGGTAACAGGCCACTAGACACATTCCTGCAACAATGAATAAGCACACAATACCAGAGGAACTGTTTGAGGTGGTGACTTATATTTGGTGCTCCCTCAAGTTATAAAGGGAGGACATGTAAGAACACATTCAGTTTGTAAGAGAGTTCAGTTTAGTAGTTGAGTTGAGTGTTCAGCTGTGGAGTGTTAACCAGCAGGCAACAGAAGCTGAAGAAGGGACTGATTTGTAAATCAGAAACAAATCAGTCACAGCAGAAGAGAAGTCAGTCATAGTCCAGTAAGGAATGGAGCGAGTCTTAGGCAGTGACTGACTGTGAGCTGTTGTAATTGATTTTAATAGAAGTGTCAATAAAGCCAGTCATCCAATCCAGAACCCATTATTGTTAGTCACGGAACTTCAGACATGTGACAGTATATATGAAAGAATGTACAGTATCCTTGAACTGAGTTTCTCAGTTGGACATACAGCCAACACTGGAAGGCGCAGAAGTACTGTTCCTGTTACATTCGTTGTAGTTAAATTATTGGTATCACATCAAATAGCAAAAGAGAAGTATGACCAACTGGCAATATGTGAACCATCTGAATGGACCAAAACTGGTTTCTGCACCGTGATGAAGACTTTGGAATATTGCTATACCACAAAGAATCCTTTGTTTATACACATATTCATGACACATTTCACTTGGCTTGCAGTAGAATAGTAACAATGAGGAAAAAATAAATTACATAAGTTTATAAAACATGACACACTTATTTTATAAATGAATTTATATTCAAACAAACCTTTTTATCCTTTGCTAAGTTCTGTAGTGTTGCAATGTAATTTTTAAATCCATGATTCCACAGTTCTTGTTCCACTTTCCTGTCCAGAGCATATTCTAAGTCAAGAATAAGGACCTGCTGGTAAATTCTCTGTAGCAAAGAAAAGTTATGTTATAAACAGAGGAAACCAATACAGTCCTGACCTTTAAATATGAAAACAAAAACCCATAATTAATACAAACACACTGTACTCACTTGTAACTGCTGTTGGCATACCCAAGCTTCATTGTCATTCAATAAGTCTCTTGAATTTTGAACCTTTTCTTTTAGTTTCTCTGCTCTCCTAAAACATCAGAAGTGCAACACTTTGTAACGACCTTTTCTTAGCATACTTCATTTCGCTGCATCTATTTGGCCAGTAGGGACAGTAATGATCCAAGACTAAAAAGTCACTTCAAAATGTACTGTAAAATTTTGTCAAAAGTCGTTAAAGAAGCCAAACAGAATAACTATAACAGCCAAATTCTAAAATCAAACAATAAAATTAAAACCACCTGGGATATTGTGAAAGTTGAATCAGGAAAGAAATCTGTTAATGAAGACGTACAAAGTTTGAATATTGAGGGGAAGTCCACTAACAATCCACAAGCTATCGCAAGTGCATTTAATGAATATTTCCTTTCATTAGCTGAGAAAACATATTCCAATAAT